CCCCAAAACCCCAAAACCCCAAAACCCCAGAAATGTGCTAAATAATTGAACCCTAAGATGTAATTTTTACAATTATTCTGGATCAATGATAAATATGTAATGTTAGGAGGGATTACCTAAAACCCTTTTTCATCACTACTAAAATTTTTAAACAAATTTGACCAATCCCAACAAATCCTTTCCTAAGCTCCCATGTCCCCTAGAACAACTCTCCAAAACCCCCTTAATCCTCCTAAAATTGCCAAAAATGCTAAACCCATGTAAGCAACTTCTTCAGACGAATTACCTCTAAAAGTTGGAAATCTTAGCCTAAAAGTGCCAAATAAGTCAAGTTTCTCTCTTATTAATTTTTAGAAATTCAGCTGATTGTGAGGAAGTTCTTCTGGAGGAGGAAGCATGGTCTCTTGGTAGGATTCATCAAGATATTCATGATAAAGCTCATTCGCTATTTTGCTGATGTGCTCGTTTTCATCTTCAAGGAAAGCATCTATAGTTTCTGGCCCTGATCAGTCAACAAATTCATCCAGAATGTCTGCCAGGAAGCTCCCATGGTAGTCAAAGGGAGGATGATCTCTTGCTGTAGAAAATATTTGGTGGAGGCAGTCTAGAATCCACCTTTGGGTCTCAGGTCTGTCGATTTCTGATAGAGATTTTACCAAGGTAATGAGGAACTTGGAATTGTCTTTGCCGATACATTGGGCTATTATGTCAACTTTACAGCTCTGGGGTAAGCATCAAAATGTGTTTATGAGGAGCATTCACGCTTCATTTTTGATGTCGGCTGACTCGATAGCGTCGTCCATTAATCCATTTGCAGCATATTCAAAAAGTTCGGTCTTAGACACAGTCATAGCGGTGCTTTCGGAAGTAACTGAGATGTTTCAAGCAACCCAGAGGACCTTTTCAAGGCATAACAGATCATTGGTGTCTCAAGCTTTCATTAGGTTATCCATGATCCCTTGTTCTAAGAGTTCGTTGATTGGCTCACTTTCTTCAGAGGAGAGGATTGCTCCGATAGTTTTAACAACGAGTCATTTTATACTTTCGTAGTCCTCCGGAGGATCTTCAGTTTCCATGTCAATCTCCAGCTCACTATCAAGGAGCATGCTGTTGAGTTTGAGGAGGACACCATACTCATTAGCTTGATTTACGATATCAGTAGTATTGGTCATCTCTATAAAAATCTCTAAAACTTTCCTCAATACGGAGATTTGCCTTGACCAATTTGGGCTGACTGCTCCAAATGGATTATTATTAGGCTCCTTTAAGAACAAAAATCTGCTTAGCATTTCGACGATCATTTCGGCTTCAAGTGGGCTTAACTTCATTTCAATGAAATACCTCAGTGCGTCAAGAATCTCGTTCTCGAGAGAAATTGTGATTGTGGGTAACTCAAGCAAGTACTTTGATTTCGCCAGGAAATTAGTCTTCCTCAGTAAGGGACAATACATGCTCTCCATCGCTATGTTCCCACAAGTCATAAACGTATTTATGATAATGGGCCCCTTGTCATAGCTCTGAAGATTCTCGTGTAGGAAATTGATGACTCCATATCTTTTGTCAAGTATTTTATATTTTACCAAGAAGTTTAGTTCCTTGCTGACTAGGCCATTGACTATCATTAGAATTTCGTTGATAAGCATACAAGCTTGGTCCTCATTTAGGGTACTGGTGAAGTCTTTGCTCAGGAAGCCGAGGATTAGGTCGAGCATATTTTCCTCCATGATGTAAGTCGCGGACTCAAGTGTTAGGTCATCATCCCCTAATAGCTTCTTAAGGAGATGGAGGTAGCTGAAGATTTCATCAAAGTTGAAATCTCAGTTTTGTAGAGTCTCTTTTACTATAAGTACATTTCCTCTTAAGTCAAGATCTTCTTTGTAAAAGTCAGGAGGATTGTAATTGTGTTTACCTACTGGAGCTTCGCATAATTTCCTCTTTTTCTTGAAAATATCCTGCCTATGTTTCTAAAAAGTTAGCAAAAGTAGTACTTTGCGAAGAGACACCATGAACTTCTCACGTTGAGGCTTAGTATCTTTGCAACAATCCAAGAATTTTGCTTTTCTTTCTTGCTGGTGGTTGTCTTCCATTTTGGTAATAGAATTTATCAAAAATTTATGAGATAATTGGGGTTTTGGGGTTTTGGGGTTTTGGGGTTTTGGGG